GCCCCAGGACCACGCTAGGAAGTCACAGGTGAGAGTTCATCCACAACAGTGACCTTGGAAAAGCCATTTTCCACCACCCCCACCCCCGCCCCAGACTAGAAAGTCAGCTAGCTGAGTACAATCACGGCAAAGAAACGACCGCCTTTAAGTGACAGTGAACCAATTCACGGGCTGGCATCTCCATTTGCATGCTCCTGCTGGGGACAGGCGGGAACTCATATTTTTAAAACGGTTCCCTTGGGGGACTTTGGGTAAGGTATGCCCACCACCTGGTATTCCTTTTACTTCCTTAACACGCCAGCTAGTGTGTTGACTCACCGTGAACTGAGAGAGAGAGAGACCCCAGAGCCATCTGTCCCCAGCTGGAGCCTTTCTGCCCTCTATGAAGAGTGGCCTTGTATGACTACAAACTAAGTTTAACGCAGGACCAAGTGATCTGCAGGGAGCCATTAGCTGTAGTCAGACCCAGAATGTGGGGTGGCTGGAAGTCCTGGAGGTCAGGCATGGTGCCAGACAGGAGTTCACAGCAGGACACTGGTCTCTGGCTCAGAGGTCATCATCACTACCCAGCATGCTCCGCTCTATGCCTTCTGCAAGCTGGGACATGAACGGGTTTAGGTCAGCCAGGATGGGATTGGGGCTCAGCTGTGAGTTGAGATGCAGTCGCTATTGTTGAAAGGGTAGCTGGCTCTATGAATCCAGGGAGACAGCTCACAGCTCTGGGCCTCTTTCCTGGACATAAAACAGACGGGGGGGGGGGGTCCCTAAACACTGGTCTGTGTAAACTTGCAAACAAGCAGATCCCCAGGCTTCATCGTGGGCTGGGAAAGTCAGAATTATCTGGAGCTGGGTTCCAAACACCCTAAGAGAGCTGGAGAACCTGCATGGTGGGACCCAGCTAGACCTTCTGAACGTGGGTGACGATTATTCGAGTTGATTTGTTGGGGGGCCCCAGGCAGTGGCACCAGGACCAAACCCAGGTGCATCAACTGGCTTTTGGGAGCCCATTCTCTATGGTGGGATACCTTGCTCAGCCTTGATGCCAGGGTGGGGAGAGGGGCCTGGTCCTGCCTCTACTTGGTATGCCAGACTTTGTGGACACCCCAAGAAAGGCCTTACCCCCTCTGAGGAGTGGATGTGGGTGGGAAGGGGAGAAGGGGGGAGTGATCAAGGCGAGGGAGGGGGAACTGCAATTGGTATGCAAATTAATTTTAAAAAGACAAGGAACTCAGTCGGTGGGTGTTGCCTGGCAAACAAGAAGTCTTGGGTTTCATCCCTGCTGTGGTATAAATAACGCGACGGTGCACATCTGTAATTTCAGCACTAGAGGCAGAAGCAGAGGATCAGAAGTTCAGCACCATCTTCAGCTACAGAGCAGGTTTGAGGCCAGCCTGGGCTGCATGAAGTCCTCTCTGAAAAGCCAACATCCCGCATTGCTCAGACTGGGGCTTGCTGCACTGAGCAGCTTCTCTAAATTCTAGGCCACAGGCAGTGCCAACTGGCCTTGTCGGGAACCTCAGAGCAGAGCAGGGCTGGGCCTACAGCAACACTGAGGGCGAAGGCAGACACCAGCTTCCTGAAGCATCGGTGTGGACTCCTTACCCTCTGCTCAAGGGCACAAAGTACTCTTGGTCCTTCATGGCAACTATACGAAAAGGCAACTGTAGGCTGCATGGCATCATCAGCTCCTCGTCTGCAACCCAACGTTCAATAGACAGGGCTGCTTGGTAAAGGAGACAGATGAGGCAGTGGGTTAGCATGGACCACCTCTTCTGCACCGCCAGGCACCCTGCCAGGGATGAGGTGACCGCATGACTCTCTGAGCCTGACTGAAGCGGGGCTACGGGCATGTGGGAGGCCAGGGATCTCTAGACTCAGAGCCCGCACATTGGGATCCTCCACCCCCTGGGAGTTCAGGCACGGGGTCTGAATGTTTAAGTGGTATGGGGCAAGAGAGGGCTGAGCAGAGCAGCGAGTGCACCCAGCAGCAAGCAAAGGCCTTGCGACTCCAAGAGGCAGGCCGAGGCTTAGACTCTAGTGACGAGAGATGACACTGTAGCTCATTTGCCGCGTGCCGCTTGTATAATTAGACACATTGGTGGTAGCAAGCGGGCTACAACACAGGCCTGATGGATTGGGGACTCCACCAGGCTCTGACCACATTAATCACAGAAGCCAGAACTATGGGGCCATTTTTTTCTTACAGACTTTGTCTATTTCTCACTTGGGATACAGGGAGTATGAGGATAAAGAGGTATGCCTTCCAGAGCCTGAGGCTAGCCCCTCCTTGGCCTTCTTGGTGGAAGCCAGCCATCCTGATGTTATCAAGGAGGCTCTGAAGCCTGACCTAGCAGGTCACAGGTCCTAGGGCTGACAGGCAAGATCCTACTGGGTTATGTCCCAGAGTCCGGTCCCCTAAACCTCACAGGAGCATAAGGGCTACCTCCCAGTCTCTGCACCAGGGCTTGGTGATTTTAAGTACTAGCCTCTCATAAGGCATGCGTGTTAACCTACTGAACCTGTAATGTCATCTGCATCCCGGTCGTGATTTGGAAGAGGATTTCAGGATGCAGAGATGATCCCGGACCCAGCTGGATCATCTCGAAAAGCAACAGCAAGTGTCTCTGATGAAACAGAAAGCCAGGGAGAAAACCGTAGCAGGAATGATGAGCAATGCAAGGGCAGGGGCAGGGGAAAGGTGGTAAGGTGTGAGGTTGGGGTTGCAAGCCAGAAGATGCAGGCTTCCAGAACTGGGAAAAGACGAAGGCACGCGTTCTCTCCAGAACTGTATGGGAAAAAAATTTCTGTTGTGTTAGGTCACTGAGCCACAGGAAATGGACACAAAGTCTGCGGCAAACGTCATGGAAGCCAGTGAGCAAAGAGATAATTCCCATGGCTAAGGGCTAGAGAGATAGCTCTCGGTGGATAGGAGCACTTTCTGTGGGAGATGTGGACCGTGTTCTAATCCCCAGCACCCACTTGAAAATCTGGGCATGGCTGTGGATCTGTAAATCACTGCTTCGAGTGGACAGAGACAGAGGATACTGAGGCTTGCTGGCTGGCAGCTTAGCTTTGGGTTCAGGGAGAAACCCTGTCTCTAGGGAGTAAGGAAAGTGATAGTGAAGGGTATCTGATGTCCTTCTCTGGCCTCCACTTGTGCACACGCATGTGCACACACATGCATGCATGCACACACATACACACACACTCATATACTCAGTGTGAGGTCCTTCACTGGATCCTGAACAAGTAAACACATATATAAGGGCAAACCATCCACATCTGTAGTAGATGTGTGGGCCAGTTCTCCATATTGGTATTGGATGATACAGGATGTTAATATCTGAATAGCTGAGTGGAGGGCCTGTAGTTTATCTTGTCTAATGCTTACAAGTTCACATGCCTGAATTTACTCCCAAATTAAAACTCGATTTTAATCGACTAATTTATTGGTTATTGTGTATGTGCATTATCTGTGTATATGGGTGTGTGCGTGCCATGTAGAGAAGTGGAGGTCAGAGGACAACCTTGGGGAGTTGGTCCTCTTCTCCTGCCTTACATGGGTCCCAGGGTTTGAACTCAAGCCCCCCAGGCTTGCGCTGCACGACTTTTACCCTATGAGCCATCTTGTCATTCCCCAACATTAAACTTAAAATTTGTTTTAAAAGAAAACCCAAGTCCTGGGTCAGCTGTCTAGTAGGCAGTAGGCACGCTAAAACATGTATCATTGGAGGGCTGCCTGGGATACAGCAAAAGCACAACGATTCGAACATCCGAGGACACAGCTATGCAGGCCAATTTCATTCTAGTGGAAGACAGAGTCTTGCACACAGTGTGCCAGCAGGGACTTTCTACTCAGCACTCTGTGTGCACCTACTATGCATCTGTCATTGTCAGCACAACCCCAAAGGAAGCTCAGAGTCCACGTGGAGCATGTATGATAACGGCTTATTCTGGTATGGCACTGCTGTCCAAATCCAGAGCAGGGTCCATTCAGGGTGGGGCATCCAGCTGTCCTCAGGAGCTGACTCTGAAGCTGAGAAGTTTCTAGAGGACGGGCAGGCCACAGGAGCCAGTCACAAAAGACAGGTGACAGGAGTTAGGAATCAGGATCCCCGACAGCAACTTGATGTGGACAAGTGGCCAGAGGACAGTGGGAAGGGACGGCCAGAGGGACCCACTGCCCAAGCAGGAAGGCGGTAGAGAGGCTGAGTGTAGGGTAACGGCCAAGGCCTAGACCTCTGTGATGGTGAATATTGGTGATCTACTTGGCAATGGAGACCCACACAGGGGACATATGTAGATACTGGTAGGGATTTAAAACTAGGTTATTTGGGGAAGACCCACCCTAACTGAAGGTGGCGCTATTACATGGCCTGTACTGGTGGGGGGGGGGGAAGAGAGAGCCAACTGAGCACTGGAATTCATCCCTCTCTGATTCCTGAATGTGGATGCCATGTGACTGGCTGCCAGGACTTCTCTACCACGGTGCACTGTATCCTCAAAGCATGAACCAAAATAAACTTGCCCTCCTTGTGTTGCTCAAGTATTTTGTCAATGGTAGGAGAATGAGGTGCAGGGGCTGAAGCCTCCCGGTGGAAATGCCCAGTCACATCAAGGTGTTGCCTTTGCCCTTGTGGACCTCAAGGTGAGAGGCAGGAGGAGACCCCAAAGCATCACTCTGAGCTTGTTTTAAAGAGTCACCCAATGCTTCAGGATACCTAAGGTAGTAAAAGGGGGATCCAACCCACCTAAGGTTACATTCTTGACTTGTGTTTGGGGTACCAGATGGGTAATGAGCCTCCAGTCACATAGGAACCAACGAGTAAGCCTAGAGCCACAGACCGTGGTGATGGCACGTGATCCAAGCTTGCTACTCAGAAGAAAGCAGAAGGTGGCTAATATGCCCGTGTCACCGGCTCATGGCTGCACAGTCATGACCGGAAGGGCAGAGGCAGGTGGCTGCACACCAGGAGCGGAAGATGGGAGGCGGCACTTACCCGTGAACACTGTGGACTGAGTGAGGATCGTAATGGTACCGTCCTTCCTGGTGTCGCATGTCAATCGGCAAAGGCGCGTGGAAAGGCGGCAGGAGCTGCTGAGGAACTGTGCAGAGGGAGGGAGAGAGAGAGAAGACTTCAAAAACTTTCCCCCTCCCTGGAAAAACAATTTTCAAAAGGCTTTAAGCTCCATGAATTCCTGAGCCAGAGTGGTCAGGACAAGGGACTCCGTGATGCCTGGCTATCACACACCCACGAAGGGGGATGAATAAATAATCAAAGCCAGCCCGAGAACCCTACATCTTCCACATAAAAGATCCCCAGCCGTGCTCTTGACAAAGACAAGCAGCTCCATGCTCTTTGAACTTGGGGAACCCAGCTTGGCCACAAATCAGGGCTGACAGCGCTGACAGGCTCCAACTCCCGCCAGCTTCTGCCCACCCTGGCTTGGCTGCGTGTGGCTTCAGTAGCGTCAGGTAGAGGCTTCAGATCCACTGTGCACACAGGCTGCACATATTTAACCTAAAACCATCTGTGAGGCAAGGCCAGGCCTGGCTTAGGGGCATCTGCATAGATAGCTAACTCTCCGCTTTTGGTGTAAGAGAGTGTGTGTGTGTGTGTGTGTGTGTACACATGTGATCACATGCATGTGAAGGCCACAGGACAACTGTCTTGAGGCTCTATTCACCTATTCACACTGTTTTATAAGACAAGATGTCTCACAGGGACTTTGGGATAGCTGATTCAGCTAGGCTGGCTACTAAGTCCCAGTGACCCACTCCCCAGAGCTGGGATAGCAAGCCAAGCACATGTCACCATGCCAGGCTTCTGACTGTATTGTCATGCTTGCACGGCAAGCTCTTTACTATCTCTCCAGCCCCAAACAACGGTAAATTTAACTCTTTTGTCACAATATCACAGAAGGGAAATGTCTAGCGTTTACACTAGTGACAGGTCAGTTTGCGAAGACTAGCCTTACTTCAGGGCATGTATCAAGGGGCTGTCAGGGGTCTCGATGATGTGCTTGAGGCACAGTCAGACTCGGTCCCACTTTCCTGAGCCAGTGGCCTTTTGACTGAGGAAAGCATCCACAGAGGAATGCTCCAGTCCTTAGCCTTTTCCCAGCCTACTTGTTAAAAGGCCCTGTTTTCCTAAAGCCTATAATTAGGTTTGCCTCTGGGGCACCCAGGCATTTTCTTTCAATAAGCAAAGAGCATCCTGCAATTATCCCGATGATTTGTTGAGTACAGGCCAAGTGCAGACGGGGGCTGACTCAGCTCCGAACTGACACACACGTGTTGGTGTTTTCAGTTCTCGAGGCACCCGCCAGCGTGCATGGGTCGATAATTAACACTAAGAGTGGAGAGTTGGGGCTGGGGAGATAGCTTAGAGAACGCAAATTCAAAGCCAGAACCCACATGAAAAGCCTGGCGAGGTGGTGCACACTCACACACCTAGCTCTGAGGAGGAGACAGGAGGATCCCTGGGGCTCTCTGGCCAGACAGCCCGGCCCTACTGTCGGGTCCCAGATACTAGTGAGAGATCGTGTCTCACCAATCAAGGTGGTCGGCACCTGAAGTATGAACAGAGACTAATCTCTGGCCTCCATACACATGTGCATATGTAAACATGCACCCATGCAACACGAGCACCTCACATACATGAACATGCTCACAAACATCTACCATTGTAAGGAGAGAGTCGAGCAGCATCATATTCAGACTTAGGAGGCTATCGCCTACAGAGCGTTTCAACATGTTAACAGGAACGGTCCCCATTAAACACTAACAGTCCCTCAGTCCCTGTCTATGACAGCAGTCACTCTGCAGTCAGTGTTTATGGACACGGTATCATTTTTATCAGCAGAGTGCTTGCCCTTCTGGGCCTGGCTCGCTTCACTCAGCCTGTGTCCTTGGGGTTCACCATATTGTAGTGGGCTGTGATTTCTCTCCGTTTAAGGTTGAAGGCTATTCCATTGTATGGATATACCACACTTTGTCTGCTAAACTGTTGGTAGACATTTGGATTTAATGCTATCAATTTTGGGGGAAGTGGGAGACAGGGTCTCAAACTGGCCTTGAATGTATGACGACCCTCCCTCTGAAGATCGCCAGCCGTCTGAGCGCTGAGATTATAGGATGAGCTGCCTAATTGGCTTTGACGTGAAGAATTCTCAATGAGAGGAAACCTTTCTCCTGAATTAAAAGCAATTACTAATTGTGTGTGTGTGTGTGTGTGTGTGTGTGTGTGTGTGTGTGTGTGTGGTGTGAATGTATGCTGCTCTATGTGTACGGGTACCCATAGAGGCCGGAAGTAGACATCAGATCCCCCAGAGCTGCATACAGGCTACCTGCTACATCACAGGCACTGAGAACTGAACTCAGGTCCTCTGAAGAGCGGGAAGTGTATTACCCACTGGACCATCTCTTCAGGCCTCTCCTGAAATTTTAACTTGAATTCTGTCTTCACTGGCGTACGCTTGTGGTGCTCTCCTCTAGGGACTAGGCGAACAGAAAGCACATCTCCCTGACAAACCAGGCTCTGTGAGGAGTCAGCAACGGACAAGAGGCATTTGAACCAGCCTGGCTCAGCCTCTCGAGCTGTGTAGAAGCAGACAGCCACCCTTTTCTGAGTTCCCCACCTCTGCACAGGTAAGCATAGACTCTAAACTGTGACAGAATGACCAGGCACTTTGGAGGCTGGTGCCCTCTGGGAATCAGAAATGTCCGTTTCAGGGACTTGGGTAAGTTTCCACATGCAGTCTACATCTGCCTGTCTGCAGGTAAGCTCAATAACTATATGTGGACACTACAGAGACAAAAAGGAAATGCAGATAGCTCCAGCAGGAAGGGGCTTGCAGGGCAAGCACGAAGCTCCGCCTCCCAGAACCCATGGTTTTGCTATGGCCCTCTGTATCCCCACACACAGTCCTCTGTCCCAGTGGCTCTTTCAGCGGCCTCCAGTCCAGTCACCGGAGCCCTGCTCTAACAGGACAGCACACGCTCATTCATCCATTCTCGGACTTGCACTCAGAGCTTCATACCCATAGCCACATGCAGCCTTTACAGAAGGGATGAAGGCTGGCATGGGTTCATCTGGTCTTGGACATTTCAGCTCAGTATGGGCCACCGCCTCAAACTCCCTATGGAAGCTTCCAGAAATAAACGCTTGCCCAAAGTAGTTCTCTGTGAGGAAGTTTAGCTTCCAGCTCTTGTAAGAAATCATCCCCATACAGAGGCCACAGCAGAAGGCAAGGGACACAAAGAGAAGCCAGGAACAAGAGCTACCCCAGGATAGGGAGACAGCTCAGCGGGTAAGTGCTGTGTAAGCTTGAGGACCTGAGTTGCAATGCTTGGCACCTGTGTAAAAAGCTGGCCATGGCCACCTGTAATCCAGTGCTGTAGGGACGGAGACGAAAGTCATTGGGCCTTGCTAGTTGCCAACCTAGCTCCAGGTTCAGTGGGAAACCCTTTCAAAGGAATAAGGTGGAGAGTATGAGGGGGAAGATACTGATGTCCAGCTCCGGTCTTTGCAGATGCACGTACACCTGCACACACCTGCACATACGCCAGACATACAGACATGCACCTCTTTACCCATATATAAGCACATGCACTAGATCCACATACCAAAAAACCAAAAAACCAAAACCCGCCTTCCACTGGCATATTGAATCTGATTATTCCACAGAACGTTTCCTTTCTTTCTTTCTTTCTTTCTTTCTTTCTTTCTTTCTTTCTTTTTTTTTTAAGGAAAAAAGAAATTTAAATTAAATCATGTCCTTCTAATACATACATATATATACACACCATATTCCATTTCAAAGGAATGTCTCTTTTCAAGTTTCAGGAAAAAGCTCAAAGTGGGGAATGTTCGGTGGCCACGCCCTGACCCCTGGAAAAAATGCACATTTGGTTTTGATCTTGCACAGAAAGACCCTGACGAGGTAGAGTGGAGGCTATTGTCACCTAAAGTCCAGAATTTCCGTATGCTAACTCAAACACCAAATGCTGCTTGGCTGGTAGGGTCTGGTGAGGAGACATCTGTGTGACAGGTTCCCCAGGTGATGATGACCTTGCTGTGTTTGAGGACAACGCTGGGAGAGTCCTTCCCCGGAAGCTGAGCTCATCTTAGGCCTCATAACATCCAGAGTGGTGAATGAAGTGGGTTCCTTATTTAAAGAACTCAGAAAACCCGGGTTGTGGAAACAAGACTAGAAGTCATGTCAGCCACTAGAAGGTTCTGAGATAGTCAAATGTGGCATGTAGATACTGCCCAGAGAGGGGAACATGGGTCACCAGTGGCCACGACCCGTGTATCAGGCAGGAGACGCCTCAGCCTCCAGGCCATCCATTCCCTGGAGGACAGGTGTCTCTGGAGTTATGACAAGGTGGGGGACATGTGTCCTGTGTGAATTTCTTTGAGAAGTCCTGTTGCCAGGTACTGACAAGAGCCTTTACACCCTAAAGGTGGTGTGCGATGGGATCAGTGGGATGCGATGTAGAATCACCATGGAAACACACTCCTGGGTGGAGCTGTGAGGGAGTTTCCAGACAGGTTGACCTGGGCAGGGAAGACCCACCCTGAGCGTGGGAGAGCTTATTAGTTTCTTCTCTGCAGCTATGATGAACATGTCGAGCAGCCGTGTATGGAGGGAAGTTTATTTGGTTTACAGTTCCAGAGGGATGAGTGTTTGTCGTGGCCGAGAGACATGGAAGCAGGTGGTACACACGGCTGCCGGAACAGAAGCAGAGAGTCCATGTCTTGAACAGAGAGGAAACGGGAAATGGTGGGAATCTTTAAACTCTCAAAGCCTACTTCCAGTGACACAGTCTCCTAAGAAGGCCACACCTCCCCCAACTCCCAAACTTTACCACACCTCTGAGTACCAAGTACTCAAATACACAAACCACAGAGGGAGATCTCCTTCACACCACCGCAGATGGCTGGGGTTCTGGACTGGAGAAAGTGGAGAAAGCAAGCCGAGGGACAGAATTCATCTTTCTGCTGCCTAAGGGCAGATGCAACGTGACCAGACACCTACGTTCCCGCTCCTGTGCCTTCCCAACGTGAGGGGCTGTGGCCCAGGTCCTTCCCTAGAGAATT